GTCGTCCTCGCAGCCTCGTCGAGGACCGCCTTCCGCGCGCCGTCCTCGCCCTGCTCGTCGTCCTCGCTCTCCTCGTCGTCCTCGCCCTGCTCGTCGTCCTCGCTCTCCTCCTCGTCCTCGCTCTCCTCCTCGTCCTCGCTCTCCTCCTCCTCGTCGCTGTCGACGGCCAAGGCCTCGGCCCACGCCGCCTCGTCGAGGACCGCCTTCCGCGCGCGCGACGACTTCCGCTGGGGCGCGCCGGCCGGGACGTCGGCGCCCGACTCGTCGTCGTCGTCGTCGTCGTCGTCGCTCGAGACGTCCGCCTCGTTGATCATCGCGTTTAAATCCATGCCCGGCTCCACGTCCGAACCGTCGGAACCGTCGGACACCACCATGCCCGACTCCACGTCCGAACCGTCGGAACCGTCGGACACCACCAGCTCGGCCGCGCGCGCCGGGCCGCCGTCGATTTCCCACGAGATCGTCATCTCCACGTCCGGGGGCAGGACGAGGTCCTGGTCGATGGACACGAGCTGGTCCTCGTCGTAGTCCAGCACCAAGGGGTCGGCGGCCGAGGGGTCGAGGACGAGGGGGCCGAGGCGCGGCAGCTCGCAGGCCTTCAGAAACGGCCCCGACAAGCACCGCCGCCACGTCCAGGGCAACGCTTTCCCGTCGAACTGGATCGTGACGAAGACCTCGCCGGTCTTCTTCTGCTGCTGCTGCTTGACGGGCCGGACGACAAGGCGGCAATCCGGGCACGCGCTCTGCGTGTTCTTCATGATCGCGTCGCACTCCGGGCAGCGGACGGTCTCCGCTCCGGCCAGGTTTCCCCGAGAGCCGAGCGCGTGCTGGTTGCCGATCTGGTCCGGCCGCGGCACGCCCGCCTTGAACTTGACAGCGTCCTGGCGCTTCTGCGCGCTGTCCGTCTTCGGCTTGTAGCACGGCCCGGCGTTGAACTCCTCGAGCGCTTCGCCCTCAAGCCGCTGCCGCCGCTGATCCGGCTCGAGGTCCGGATCCTCGACGCGCTTCTGCGAGCACATGAAGTGGGGCAGGCGGCCCTTCAACGCGTCGATCCCGCGGGACTCGCACGACTTCATGCGGAGGTTGTCGACGATGGCCAGGTCGATCGCGATGACGCGCGCGGCGACGGAGCCGAAGAGGCGCTTGACGACGGAGGGCATGTAGGCCGAGCCCATGTACGTCAGGCCCAGCATGGGCCAGAACGTCTTGTCGAGCACGCGGCGCGAGAGGTACGTCTGGCGCACGCGCCCGTTGACGTCGAACGAGACGAAGAGCTCGAGGACGGCGTCGATCTCGCGCTTGTCCGTCTCCTTGGACCGATACGGCCGATCGCGGACCTGGTCCCGGCGGACCTTCTTCTTGACGTCGTCCATGGCCTCGACGACGTCGCCATTCTTCTCCTTGAGCAGCTTCATGATCTCCTCGACGGCGTCGGGCTCGAGCACCTTGGCGCCGGCGCGCCAGCATCCATAATCCGGTGTCTTGCCCTTGTCAGCCAGGGCCCGGATATCGTCCGTGATCGTGAACTCGTGCACGAGGCCGACGTCGAACTGGCGCGCGCGCGGCACATGCCGGCATGATTTTGAACAGCTCCTCCTCCTCGAGCTGGTCGGCGAGCGACCGGTCCTCGAGCAGCCCGACGGAGCGAGATCCGCCGGCATGGCGCCACGGACGCAGACAACACCATGGCAATATTCACGTGCGAGGCGCTGCGTGTC